TTTTTGCGCGCGAAGCACGAAGTCCTTGGTTTTTGCACTTTTGTGCATCCTTCCCCCCCTGAAGCAGACGCCCCTCCGCGAGAAGGGGTGTCGGTCGCGAAACGCGACACGACAAGGGCGAAAGCTAACAAAGGTGCGGAGGGGGGCTCACTTGTTTGGGAGCCCCTTTACGGGGGTCATATCCGCACAAGCCATGCGTGCAGCGGTATTGACCGAAGCTTTTCTGGACGTCCAAAGATATGCTAGGAAAGCATCGGAGTTCCACCGCCCCCAAGTGCGCAGCACATATGAATCCATGCCGCCTGCCCACATAGCGGACGCGCCTCCAAACCTCAAGGAGTGTGGTGTGTAGGCCTGCGCGTCCTCACCCAAAGACGCCGCGATGCTCTGCAGGGCGGTCTGGATGTCCTGTCTGGAGACTGCTCCGAAGAACCTCTCCTCGGGGTGCGGCGGAGCAGCCTGCCACTTTAACTCCGAAAACTCGATAGTGGCCAAGACTGGGCACACCTCGGCGTTACTGCGGGGAAAGGAGCTCTCCACGGCGATACAAGGTAACATCCTTTACCCGGAGGCCGAGAGGCAAGAAGGTCCTCGGGCATGTGATCATCGAGGTGGTGATCGAAGAGGCCCGAAAAATGGTCTTCCCCTCTTGCTCTCCAGGCGAACCGCAGAGCCCCAACAGCGTGTTTCCAGCCTTGGCAGCGTCTGAGCAAGGTTGTGCCTGCTACGACTGCTGCATTCCAGGCCTCCAGCGAGTAGGGCACATTATGCACGCTACGAAGGTAGCTCTCGGCGGCTTCTGCGGTCTCTTTAGGAAGCTCAGTTGGGAGCCAAGAGGGCGCCGGTCCCACGGAGGGGCCAGACTGAGGGAACAGCTTCCCCCAGCGGACCGAGCTCTCGACATAGTTCTCGACATCGCTGTGAGTGTCGCCCCTCTCGAAGCATTCTCGTAGTCTTTGAACCTTGCCCAAAATGGCAGCAGGGTCTCCTTCTCCCCCCCCGCCGCCCGGGCAGAGGGCCGCAAGCACGGCCGACACGGGCAGGCTGAACTGAAACGACGCGCGGAGCATAGTGACGCCCGGGTCAAGACCAAACAGCCGCCCCGCCTGACGCGCGGCATGCCACGCAGCCCCCGCGAGCTGTACGCGGGTGGCTTTGTCGGCCCAGGCCCGCCGATAAAGGGGGGCCTCGATGACGCAATGACCGCCGGCCTGCAGCTGGGCAGCAGCAAGGCGCAGAGCTGGAAGCCACGGCTCCCGGCAGGGCCAGCGGGCAGCGCAACCGGGAGCAACCAGAGGCAGGCCACGCCCCCTTCAGCAACGTACAATCGCCGACGCAACGGCGGCCGCGTCGGGCAAGGGGCCCCAGGCACCGTCAGCAGACACGTGGGTGTCCGCGGTGCCGAAAACCAAGAGCGGAACAGGGTGACCCGCGGGAGGGAGCAAAGGCAGCAGAGACCTCAGACAGAGCGCCGGGCCTGGAGCAAGCCACGGCTGGCGGAGCGGGCGGGAGCGCACCGGCCCCGAAACGGGCCTCAGTGGACACGCCGCGTCCTGCGCGGAGCACCTGCAAACCGAAGGCCCCGGCTTCGCGGCCGGTCCGAAAGGAGCCGAGAGAGCGTTTGGGGTGGCACACCTGGCACTGGAGGAGGCGTGAGGCCTCGAGCAAAGGCGAGCCCTCGGCTCCTTCCAGGTAGGCTTCCCAGCCGGCGGCTTCTATTTCACGGCTGCCAAGGGGTGGCACACAAGGCTGGTCTGGGCGCAACAAGCGCATATGCCCCCGATGAATGAGCACCCAACGCGTGTGCTCTGCAAGGCCGTTGTAGCCGCTGCCGCAAATCACTTCGACGCTGGGACGCATATAGGCGTCAACGCGCAGCACAGCCAACCCCAGCTCCGCCCATTCGTCGAGCGGGTGCGCGACCAGAGTGCGGTAGTCCCGATCGTGCCCGAAGTGGAGCAAATCGTGATGGAACACTCGGACGTCAGCTTCGGCTTGCGTAATCCGGGAAGGCACGGGCCCCAGAGAGTCCTCCACAACTCGCGCCTGGCAGGACCAGCGCTCTCGCCATTCCACAGCGAGCTCCTGTACCGCCTCAGCGCCAGGCAGGGGCGCCCCGGGCGCACTGAGATAAGCGGCCGCAACGTGGAGCAAAAGGCACTGTTTGGGCTCCGTCTCAGCAGTCGCAAACCCAAGCCGGTCGCAGAAGTCAGGCGGTATCTGCAGCTGGTCCTGGTAGTCGAACATGGCCCACTGTCCTACACCATTCCACGTGAGAGTGCCAGCACCAATGGACGAGTTCCAGGTAACAGGAGAGAGCTGCACAACAGGGGACTCGCCGGCTTTGCGGTGCAAGCCGCGAGCCTCAAGCAGGCGTGCAGCTTCCTCGGCGAGCTCGGGGCCACCCAAGGCAACCGCCTCTTCAAGGAGCTGCGTAACATCGTCAAGCCCCGGAGCCTGGTTCGTTTCCTCACGCTGTCTCAGCAAGCGGTTACGCAAATACACTCCCACCAGCCCAGAAGGGTAAGGGCCAAGGTTTTGCTCAGCTGCATCGACTTCTCGCATATGGGCGGCCCGCTCTGTATCTTCAAAGCTGGCGCTGGAGCGAGTGAGGGTCGCGGCATTGGCATCGACGTCCTGCCACCATCTTTCCGTCCTGCTTGAGAAGGGAGCCCAACGTCTCCTCACGATCCGTAGGCAGGACGTCGTTCAGGTCGGCGACGACGTGAAGGGGCAAGGCGTCCTCGTGCGTCCTCTCGCCTGCCCTGGAGGCCCCCTCGGCAGTGCCGTTGCCAGTTCCTGTCTGGGCCTGACCGGCTTTCTGGGTAGTGGAAGCTTTGGCCTTGGCAGCAGCGATGCCCTCCTGCTTGGAGGCTGCAGCTTTTGCGGCCTGCTCAGCCCGAATGCGGGTAAACTCCCTTTCCACCTCTTCCGAGGTTTTGGCTTTTGAGTTTCGGAGGCCGCCCCGACGGAGAAGTTGCAGCTGGACAGTATAGTCTAAGCTGGTCCACTTCGGTATGGCCTTGTGTGAATGCGGGCAAGCGCTGCCCTTGTTGCATCCCCTGTGGCCAAGGTAGTCCCAACAAAGGTACTGGCCCTGCTGATCCTTCGGTCGGTGGTCCAGTGATCTGGAAGCCTCCTTTGGGGTGAGGCCGGGTCCCAACAGCTTGGGTGGCCCAGCCCCACCAGCGGCATCGCTTCCCGCCCGGCCGCCTCGCGGTGGGGCAGGAGCGTCGCCAGGCTCGGTTCGAGCCTCGGCTTGCTCTCCCCCACCGGCAGCGCGGCCGCCTCCACCAGCCCCCCTTTTCTGCGCGCCGGCCCAGCAGGCGCGCGACAACTGCCTCTGCATGCGCGGTAGCATGTCAGTACAAAAGTACTGGGTCTCATCGTCAAGCCGAAAGGTTCCCGGAAGTTGCAGCCACGGCTGGCCATCCGGCCCGGGAGACAGGGCAAAGACTTTCAGGCGAGCAAATGTGGGGGTTTCATCCTGCATCGCTCTGCGGACTCGGCGATCAAGTTCCCTGGCTTCCTCACAGAAACGAGCCCAAAGCTCCTCCCATGCCCCATAGACAGCGGAAGCCGGCCAGGCATACCCATGCTGCTCGCCTAATCTAAAAAAGGTGGGATGCCGCTTTCTCCAGCACAGGATAGTACTCTTCACCGAACAGGCACGCGAAGGCCCAGGACTGGCGAAGAGCGGCGCGGAACCAGGACGTGAGGGTGTTGGGGTAGCGCCCTTTCTTTTCAAGCTTAAGATCGGGCGTGCCGCCGTAATTGTCAAAGTCTTCTTCAGAGGTCAGCGGAAAGTCCCCAGCCGAAAGGCAGTACTCCGGGATGGTGTTGGGGGACTTGCCTCCAATCTGGACAGCCGCAAACCCATAACTGTGTCTGTTCTGGATGTTGCAGGGGAACTCGATCCTTCTGAGCTGCGGTCTCGCCTGAGTACCCGCGATACGCAACGCGTGGAAGAGTTCCTTCCCGACCACTCCGGGACACAGTGTGACACTCAAAGTGTCACACCCCCTCAGCAAAAAGACGATCCGTTCTTCCAGCCGTCCAATCGATGCCAGCTTGCCTCGGTCCTGCGCGAGGGCGTCTTCCTTAGAGGTGAGGCTCTTGGCGATGGCTTGGAGCGCCTTCGTAGTTTCGTCCGCGGCAGGGGCCTCCGCGTCGGTGTATGCTCCCGCTCGGAAAGCCCGCGTGGCATGAGCAAGGGCATCTACCGCATCCGTTCGGCCGCCGTGGTTCTCCCCCGCTGGGTTGGGCCGAAAGAGAGACTGGGGAGTTGGGCGCGTTAGCCCATAATTGCCAACGCTAGGCTGGGTCGGCACCTCCGGCGTTCCCAAGGCACCACCTGGTTCGGAGCGACCCACGGGTTAGTCCTATCCTGGCGGTCTTCTCCCAGCCCGTTGGACAGTTGGGCTAATTCCCACACGAGCCGGCGTGACTCGGGAGGAAGCTCTTGGGAGAGTTGCAGGCAATGCCTCCGGTCCTAGCAGCCTCCCTCAGCCGCTGCGTTCCCTCACTGGGGGTCCAGCGGCCGGACGAAGCTGCCTCCACAGCAGCGGTGTGGCTGCTACCTAATTGCCGAGCTTCCAGATATTCAAAGAGCGCCTGGCCCAACTCCGGATCTTCGCTCCGGGTAGGTTTTCGTCGCGCTTCACTTGGGCGCGAGGCCTCAGAAGAGCCCCTCTGTTTGAGCGAGACTGCCCGTTTCCTCATTTCCTCATCTGGAATGCCCGCAATTTCCTCCCACGTAAGACCTGACAAGACCTGGTCCTCAACGGTAGCCTCCGGCAGCAAGTGTACTGCATCTGATGTAGCCCCGTTCAAACGCGGAGGGGAGGAAATTCCACGCAGCTCCGCGGCCTCGTTTTGCGCGCCGCGCTTGGGCGTGACATCCTGGGAATACGGCCGGGCGCGATCCGCGCCACGGAGCGCTTTCTCCCTTCTGGTTGCGCTCGAGAACGAGAAATCGAAGGGCTAGGCTTGCTAACAGGGATCCTTTCTTCCTTGCTGGAGTGCAGCTTGCAGAGCTTAACTCCTCCTCGCACCGTCTGGGCTGCCTTTTCACATCCTTCTACAGAGCAAGCTCTGCGGGATTTGGATAAGGCATAACCCTCGTCTTGGTGCCTCGCGCAAAGCTGGCAGCTGGCTTGTAAGCCGTCCCAATGCAGCTCACCGCCACTGCTCTGAATCCCATCGTCATTGAGGAGCTTAACCCAGGTGCACGCAGCGTCTTTACAGCGCTCTTTGCTGAGCCTCTTGATCTGCGTGCCCTCCTTCCAAGCAATGGCATCCGCTTGACACGGGTTATCTTCCTCCTCCGACTCTGTCTCGGAAAGGTCGCGTCGTGGGGTACGATCTTCTTCGCTACCCGGGCGCGGACCGCGCCTCGGGGGTTTCGTCCTGCAACAACAACACCTTAAGACGAAAACCACCTTCCGCAGGTTCGGACGGTTCCCCATACTCCGGCAACGCCCTGCCAAGCCATGAATTTTGAGGCATTAAAGGCTCGGCGCATGGGACCTCTCCCTGCGAGCTCATTAAGGTCGACGTCTACGCTTTGCGGTACGACGCTGCTAGCAGTCACATGTACTTCTGCAGCCTCCGGCGAAGTGCAGGGGTCTACTGCTTACTGGCTGTTAAGCAGGAACAGGGGAACCAAGAGGATTGAAGGATTCAGAGAATGTCTCTCCTCTCTCTCTGTTTCAGGTTCCTCTCCTCAAGGTTTCTCTCTCTCTCTCTCTCTCTCTCTCTCTCTCTGTGGGTCATGCAAGTTGGTGCATGGCTGCATGGTACACAGGGGCAGGAGCTGGTGTGCTTCACAAACAGAATGAATGATTCCTGCTGAATCACCTGGCGCCTTGCACGCTACATGACTCCAGACGGCCCAAATGCACCAACTTTCCAACACACCCAAAGGTGTGTCTCTTGAAGGTGTCAAACCGTTCCTTTTGAACACCAAAATCAATCAAAACATCTTCTTGGCGGCGTTGCTTCTGGATGATATTTTGAAGTTTTTTTTGGCGGTTAAGATGCTGGACAGCATTTTGTATATCAGATGCTTATATATATATATATATCAAAAGTAAATT